CACTCATTTTTAAATGTAGTCAACACAAAAATATTCTTATGAAACTTTGCTAATCAAAAAATGGAAAAATGAAAAGTACCAGATTTTCAGTGATCTTACCTTAAACTCCTTGAATGACAGCACTTTGCTCTTGTTAGGACTAGGTATTACAGGGCAGCAGCACTCCTTCACCCTGGAAATCAGAGCAAAACAAATAAGGTTTTGGTTCTCTCATCAAAGCATATTGAAGCAGATGCCACATGTAGATGTGCGCAGAAACAGCAGATGATGAGTGTTTCAGAAATGCCACAAGCCAAATGCCTACAACACAGCTGGAGAGCCAAAGGAAAAAATGAGCGAGGCCTTACCACAGGCTGGAAGCAAAAAGCTGCAGCTGTGGTTTGTGAACCGCAGTAGTTACAGTCTCTGTCTACTACAGAACAGTGCATTGTAACTTACCACTTCATCTTCCAGTGGCACACAGCTGCTGCTAGCAATGGCACTATCATGAGCAGGACCAGAAGGTACAGCACGTTTGCTGTGAAAGAAAAATACTTTTTAAAAAAGTTTATTGTTTTCAACTTTGCACCTGTTAAAGTCAATATAGCATGTGTTTCTGGGACGAAAATAACATCAAGGCCATGCGGGATACCTGCCACTAACTCAGCAGTAAAACTGCGTGATCTGTGGCTGCAAGATAGTTTGGCTGGAAGTTCTGGGATACAGCTGTAAGTCTTTGGACCTTGATTTCCTTTACCAGATTTGATTTATTACTAGATTGCTTTTATTTTGCCCTTATGTTGGCATCCTAACTGTAAGGGTAAATTTCCAAAAGTTAAGTCAATGGTAACCTCACTTAACTATTTGGTTGAGGTTTACTCTCGGCTCCGCAAAGACAACAGCTCTTTACAGTGAGATATTGACAGAACATCTGTACCCCCAGTATGGACAGGCTACAGCAAGGCAGACACCAGACAAGTGTTCACACTCTCCTAGGATTTATGCTGACACAAGAATCTCAGTATTTCTTTCTAGTTGGAAGACACAACCTTGGGCTATGTTTTTCACAAATAGCTGAGGCTACAATAAGCAGGCTAAGGGGGAGCACCAGTGAGTTTGTGTCCCTACCACACACCACAGCAGGGAATGGACACATGTCACAGTCTCCCTTTTTATTTTCTACGTCAATTAAACCCCCATTTTGGTTTACTGTGTGGCTGTACAAATGTCTATGCTTGGGCAAGAGAAGGCTGGAGCACAGGAGCTGGAACACAGGCGTAAGAGGCAGAGCTGCCTCTGTGAGGGTACCATGAGGCTTTAGACACTGTTCTTCCAGTCAGTCTAAAACCTGAACTCTCCTTGCATGAGCCAATGCTTCATCCTTTCCTACCCCTGCCTCTTACCTCCATTCCCAACAAATTTTTCAAAACCAGCATGCTTGTTCTGAATGGGATAGAGTTTATTTTCTTCATAGTAGCTGGTTTGGATTTGTGCTGAAAACAGTGCTGATAACAGAGAGATGTTTCTGTTACTGCTGAGCAGTGCTTACACAGAGTCAAGGCCTTTTCTGCTTCTCACAACAGTAAATAGGCTGGGGGTGCACGAGAAGTTTGGAGGTGACACAGCTGGGACAGCTGACCCCAACTGACCAAAGGGATGTCCCACACCATATGACGTCATGCTCAGCATATAAAGCTGGGGGAAGAAGAAGGAAGAGGGAAACATTCGGTATGGCAGGGTTTGTCTTCCCAGGTAATCATCACAGACAACAGAGCCCTGCTTTCCTGGAGAGGGCTGAACACCTGTCTCCTAATGAATGAACTAATGAAAGGAACTAATGAACTGCTTATTTTGCTTTGACTGTACATGCAGCTTTTGCTTTACCGATTAAATTGTCTCTATCTCAACTCACGACTTTTCTGTTTTACTCTTCTGATTCTCTCCCCTGTCCCACTGAGGCAGGGGAGTGTGCAAGTGCCTGTGTGGTGCTCAGTTGCTGGCTAGGGTTAAACCATGACAGTCATTTTTGGCACCCAGCATGGGACTCGAAGAGTTTGAGATAACAACAGGTTTGACTGGAATGTGCTAGATCACATTTATAACTGTTATTGCTGTTTAGCTATTAATTGGCAGGCTCCTGTGCTTGCCATGGGGCTTGCTGGCCTTACTGTATAATAAACTGCCAGAAAATGAGAATCAACGTGCCCTGCTCACTGATGAGTCCTGTCACACTGTGGGAAAGCATCAGAGGTGGGAGGCTGCTGTGTGGAGTCCTATATAACAAGTCACAGAAAGTGCTGAAGGAGAAGGTGAACCAAGCCAGTTTATGAAGTGAAAGTCATCCCACTGGCTTCAGATATGCTGGCTGAGAAAAGTGACCCATGCTCTGTCCCTGTACTGACTTACGGATGGTGGGAAATGCCCTGTGGGGATGGTTTCAGCAATGGAAGCAGAGAAACTGGCAGCGCAGAGGCAAGTCCATCTGCACTGCTGTTTTGTGCCAAGATATTGATGACCAGCTGGAAAATCTGGTTGCTTTGATGGTGCAGCCACTGCTGCTTTAGGGTGTACCTGCTCCAACATGGACTTATCCACAGCCAGAGATCCTTCGAAGTGCAGGGGGGTCACACTGATCACACAATGGGATCAAATAGGAAGCCCCAGTCACGCAGGTGCCTCAGAAATGATCATGTACTGGCCAGAAGGCAAAGATTTCAGAATACAGCCAGAGGGGTGGTGACCATGCTGAGGAGGCCTCATGTTGTGGGGGGTGGAAATTAACACTACCCCAGTCAAAACCAGGTATCTCCCATTTGGACTGTAAGTTTCACAACCATGCATGCTGAGTGGTATTTTAAAGGAAACAGGCAAGTGTTTTCCTGTTCTGCTTTGACGATCAAATCTGCCCAGCAAACTACATTGACCAAGTCAACAACACTTTCTTATTGACTTATGAAGGAGTTAACTTGGCATTGGATTTAAAGAGTGATGAGAGTAAGAATCAACATTAGGAGTTCAGGAGTCCATTAGAAAACTGCCTATTTGCACAGAGGTCTGTAGTTTTTTCATATTAGAAAACTAGTTAAATCCAAATGCAATTCTTCAACCCATTCTAGCAAACAGGACTCACTAGTCACAGAAATGTACATATATCAAGCTATTGCCCAGAAAGATGTTAGACTTAAATAAGGATGTAAAATTATTACAACACTAAAACTTTTTAAAAAGCTACTTTAAAATATCAAAATGCAGTATTGGTATGCACACTTTGTTTCTCGGTTGTATCTGTTCTCAAGTGCATCTTACATTGAACTAAATGTTTTCCCTTGAGAAACAAAGATTATTTTAACCTTTTAAATCATCTCATCCTTCTGCTAGAAGACAAGTTTTTTGCAGCCAATACTCACAGTTAAATGGTGTATCTACATATATAAAGTTAACAATGGGGGTCTCTCCTCCGCCTGTGTATGCTTTAACCACTAGTTTGTATTTTGTGTTTGACAACAGGTGTTTCACGGTGTATTTCTTTTCTTCTGGGTTTTCAATTGTGTATTTACACAGCACTGAATCATCTAAAATAAAACAGATAAGACAGAATCACAGAATCATCATAGAATGGTTTGGGTTGGAAGGGACCTTAAAGACCATCTGGTTCCAACAGCCCAGCCATGGGCAGGGACACCTCCCACCAGACCAGGTTGCCCAAAGCCCTGTCCAACCTGGCCTTGAACACTTCCAGGGAGGGGGCATCCACAGCTTCCCTGGGCAACCTGTGCCAGCGTCTCACCACCCTCACAGTAAAGAGTTTCTTCCTAATATCCAGTCTAAATCTACCCTCTTCCAGTTTAAAACCATTCCTCCTTGTCCAATCACTACAGGCCCTGGTAAAAAGTCCCTCTCCATCTTTCTTATCAGACTCCTTTAAGTATTGAGAGGTTGCAATAAGGTTTCCCCAAAACGTTACAAAGTACCTTAACTGAGACCACTACACAACTGAAATAACAGAACATTTGCAACTCACTTCCTTTGTAATTTCCACGCTTTCTTCTGAGAAGGATGATGCATTCTGACTCATTGCCACTGGGCTAAACTCACATCCTTTCTAACTGGTCTGCCCACAGCATTGCCCATCCTCTGGCAGTCCACCTAATAACTTGCTGTCAAAAGCTGCAACTGTTTATTTTCATTTCCTTTTTACTAGAGCTTCTTAACAGAATTATTTCGGTACTGCCATTTCCTTTTCATGAGAATTCTGTAGTCCTCAAACTTAGGTCAAGTTCTTTGAAGATAATGCAAATCAAAAATCTCTGCCTGAAAAAAAGCTCTTTTGCCTCTCTATTGTGCAACTCCCAGACCCCAGGGAGAAAAGGGTTAGCTTATTCTTCCTTTTCCCAGTCACACCCCTTGCCTGCTAGCTCAGACAAACTGGGAGGCAGGAAATCTTTGATTTAAACATTTAACTGGGATTACTCGCAGAATTATGGTACTTCTGTGGTTAGTTTAGCTCTGACAAGAACTCCTACATAAGCCTCGCTCAGTTCAAACTAAGCTTTTCAGCCTGGCACTAGTCTAATCAGCAGAAGCATCTGATACAAGACATGATCCACTGGAAGAAGCAGCAAGAAAAAAAAATATCCTTGAACACGTTGGAAACATCTGAAAATTATAATGGAGCAAAGTCATCTGGAGCAGTTTTGAGTGTGGAGCAGGAAGAACAGATATAAAAGTTTAAATGTGGTTTCGTGCCACCTCACAGCTCAGTTCTGCTGAAGGAACTACAGCGTAGAGCACAGCCACAAATACTTTCACTATAAAAGAATTTAAATAGGGAATTTACAGTGTGCTCCAATTCTGAAGGAAATAAATTGTATCCCATCTGTTTCTAAAATACCCGGAATTCTAGTAAAACGAACATGCTTCCTGTGACTCTCATCCAAGTAGACCACAAGCAGATGTTTTCAAAATTCATCCAGAACTCAGATCACAAGAGACGAAAACTTGACTCCTCCTACAGTTCTGCGAGAATCCTTTCTGGAGCTCACTCTGTAGTTAAAAGGAGCTATGAACAGCAGAACAGGGGCTGTAAATATGTATAAAGCTAGGACCCGCTTCTGCCTATTAGGACCTCAAGCATAGGAGAAGAATCAAAAGCAGTAGGTGTCAAAGTCTATTTATCGCCTAATGAGCCAATTTGTTCACCTAATGTGAACTTTCTAAGAGACTGCAATATCAACAACATCCACAAAATCTTTCACCTACATCAATGACTCAGCTTCCGAAATCCCAGAACTCAGTTACCTGGAAGAACATGTTTTTTTGATCCTTTCAAACTGCAGTCCTCTTGCGTAGGCGACACATAAACATGGTAGCCTCTTACAAAACCAGGCTGTGACTCATTTGTGGGATAAGAATCCCAGGACAGCGTTACTGCATTGAAAGTCAGTTCAACTTTTTCCACAAGAGGGTCAAGCACAGGAGCTGGAAGAAAGGAAAATCAAGTTAAACTTGCCATTACTCTTCATGAATGTTTATCTTCTCACTTGAAAAATGTTTCAATGTCCATGTGGTATTTCTGTTTATATCTTACCTGTATTTAAAAGCTGAATAAAGCCAAAGCACTCCACAAAAACTGTCAACTTTACAGAGCCTTCATGCAGTCCACATATGACACAAAGCAATGATTGCTAACCACAGTTTCATTTAGCTATTCCAATTAACTTGGACCCTACCTGGTCCTTGCACTAGTTCAATATCATTGATGTAGGGCCCTGTACATAGTTGTACAACTTTTAAATGTGTCATTGATGACACAGAAACAACATAGAAAATATTTATTTAACTATTTGCAGGAGGAAGGCAGTGGAGTTCTTCTGTTTGTGACACATTAATTTACAAATACACAAATCTTAATTTAGCAAATACACAAACCCTCAATATGTTGCCAACTTACGTAGCTCCCTGAGATAGCCAGTCTTCTTCTCCAGTAAGGAGGCTCTGTTAGCAACAGAGCCATAGATGTGGAAGTTGTATCTCACCCCCGGAACAAAAGCAGCTAGAAAATAGCGGAACTGATTACAAAAATAGGCTATGATTTGTCGTTTGGTTTTGCTTTTGGTCTCTAATCCATTAGGAATCTTCTTTGTATGTTATTGTGCTATTAAAGCAACTGAAGGAGACACAGGGTAAACCAGATCTTAGTGTGCTTAGTGTGACTTGAACACTTTTATTCTGTCTTAAAGAGAGAACTGGGTTGGGGGTTAATATATTTTTGTTGCCTTAGAGTATGCAAGATGAGTGCACAATGGACTCCGAATGCAACAAAGAGCAAAAGAATTTCATTTCCATTTCTGCACAGGCAAAGGTCAGTTTTGGATGCTTAATGTAGACATATACCCATGCCTCAGGACTCCATGTTATCCACTGTGACATCCACTCCCACCCAGATCAACCAAGTGCAACCCACTGAAGAACTGGACATTTTTTTCCATAAGTTAGCATACTCCGTCAGTGAGGAGGCAGGCTCCCATGTGTTTGCATGAACTGAAGTGCGGTTCCTTTACTGCATATTGAAATGCGTTCAGTCAAATTTTGTTCAAACACGTTTCATTCCAAAGTCAAGTCTCAGCTTGAAGGCTATGTTCTTGCAGCTGTGGAAGTTTATCAAAGCAACTTCCACACAGCCAGAAAGGATTTAGGTCTGATGGCCACCAACAGGATAAAACACAAACTGGTCCTGAGCAAGGACAGATGCTGAGACTCTCTCTTTGTGGCATACTGACAGCACTAAACTTCTCACCACACAGGTGTTAAATTGCCCGAGTCTAAACTTCTGACTCAGCAGAGATCTGTTTTGCATCCCTTCTGCTAAAAGATTTTTAACTCATTCATTAACCTCACCACCCTCCTTCAAGATGTTACTACAACCTAGTCAGAGTACTATGCTGACTTCCAAGGCTCAGTGGTGCTGGCACCTTTGTGAACAATTATACCTGCACTGCACAGACTTCAATATTCAATAGGACCTGTTTCCTAAATTCAATTAATGCCCACATTATAAAAGATTGCTGCACAGACATCAGAAAGAAAAAATATTTGGCTTTTACCTGAGCTGATCAGAGCACTGGAAGTGTTGGGCCCAAATCTCTTCCATTGTAAATCACAAGGCTGCAACATCGGAAAGTTATACCAGTCGATAATGTAACTGTCATATATATGTCTGGGCTCCCAGGAAACAAAAATGCCATCATCTGTACCATTAACCTGTTCTTCTTTAAGCTCTTTAGTCCCTATGAATGAACAAAGTGGTCTCTCTTATTTTTCTGCATAAATTCTCAGATTCACAAATGAAGATCAATATAGTTTCTACGCTAAGCTGTTAATAATAAAATAGATGTGTTCCTTCACTACCAGACACATGGGATCTTTCACATGCTGAAAGCTGATCTCTTCATATGCAGAAAGTGACAGCTCAAAAACCATCCAGTGATGGATATATATTCATAAAAAGAACTCAACTGCAGAAACCAGGAGTCATAAATAGAAAGTCAGAAGAGTTCACTGCAAGGCACTGGCTGCACCCTCATGGCATCAGCTGCATGTCTGAGGCTCTAGTTTAAGGCTATATCTGTTTTGCTTTGCAGAGACTCTTGTGGAAAACACACTTTTTGTTGTAAGGGATCAAGGCACTTAAGCTTAATATACATACAGGTACCACCCTATAGGCAAAAATACAGTAATAATTTCCAGATAGCAGTGATGTCAGTTAACAAGCCAGGTTAATTTGTTCCCCTGAGATGATAAATTATCACTTCACTTAAAATAGGTGGAAACAAAACAACGGAAATCTAAGTGTAAGTGAAAATACTGTTACCTGTAGCTCTAGGGATGATCAATACTGAAGGCAGTGAATAATTAACATTATTCTTTGACATAATAGTGATTCTGTAGGAATGGTTATCAATGGAAATCCTTGTGCTATTGTAGACTGATGACAAGGAGATGCTTTCAAGCTTAGAGCCATCTTCTACTTTTTTCCAGGTTACTTCATATGAAATACTTCTTCCATTTGCTCGAAAGTTTGGTGCGTGCTGGGAAAAAATTGCAGGGGTAGGCATAAATTACTTTGTATCTTTTCCCAAAAACACATGAGAGGAGCAACTAGAACTTTAAATAACTGATTGGATATATTATTACTATATGAACATAAACACTTGCTTCCCTACAAACATACATATACTGGTTGAAATAGAAATGCAGAAATCTCAGTAATGGGATTTGTCTTCTTACAATACTTAGAAAAACAGAAGTATATGTCTGAAATGCCAGGAGAGCACAATATCATACAGCTAATATATTCTGAAACATGTAATATATAATATTTGTCTTTTAGATTACTAAAAGACTATATAGACTATATAGATTATTAATAGACTTCATACTGAAGTGCTATTAACTGCACACCAATTTGTTAAAGTTCATAGGAGAAGTTTCCAATGCCTTTATGAAAGGTTTTGTTACCATATCTCACCTTCCAGAACAAGGTCACATTCCGACCCCCCAGAAATGGTGTAATTTCTCTCCAGATGTCCAGTTTCCCTGATGGAGCTGCAATAAATACAGCAAAACAGAGATGCTCTAGGTGCGGAAAGGATAAACCACGCAATTGATTCGTCTCATTTGAAGAAATTCCACTCCCAAAACTGCTTTTTCCCAAGGTCCTGCCAAAACATTAACCTTTAACTTCTTCCTCCCTTCCTTCATTCATTTTTATGAATGAATGTCTGGTTCATTCTTATCCCTATAAGATCTTATCCCTGTAAGATCTTTCTTTGCTGGCAGTTCCCAGGTACTTGTTCCCACCTCTGCACAGGTCCTTCAGCCCTCACAGAACAGCATAACTCAGTCTGTCCATCCTCCCAGTCAAACGGATTTGTCACGACTGCACTGGGTGAAACGGCAGAGACTGGCAGGTAGGATGAGAGTTGTTTAAGAAGACCTCTTCTTACAGTTTGCTTGGTGTGCTTCTACTTCTATGCATGAAACAGGCCTCTGCTTTAGTTACACAGAAGAAGAGTGGCAAATAGCAAACAGATGTGGCAAGCAAAGAGCACTTGTATTGGGCTTGCATGGCAAGGTTGTCGTAGGGGGTTACAGGGATAGCCTCTGTGAGAAGCTGCTGGAAGATTTTCCTATGTCTAATAAACCAAATGCCAGATGGGTCCACGATGAACTCACCACTGTCTGAGACTGGGCCCATCAGTGACAGTGGCAGTGCCTTTGTAACCACAGAGTTAAGAAGGGAGGGAAAAGACCTTGCAGAATACCAGCAGCAATCAGAAAAAGAGAAGTGGGAGTATGTGAGAGAAACGCGGAGGAGGAGGTGCTTCAGGCACTGAAGCAGAGATTCCCCTGCAGCCTGTGGTGA